ATATATATATATTTATATTTATATGTAGCTTACGAATTAGTCGGATAATAGATAATTAGATAATGAAAGCATCGTAATCATAATGCAGACAGAAATAAAAATTTATGATTACAGAATGCACAATAAATTACGTAAATGAATTAAATAAATGACGTTACTGCATTTTCCAGGATCATTTCACTCCTGATCAGTATGAACAAAATAGAATAGACGGATTAAGAAAACTGAAATGCAATGCTGTTCCATCTATATTCAAATATAGATGTGAAGAGTCACAAAACAGAGATTCGCTAATTGGTAACATGGGAAGTGATACACCATGCATGGGTAAATGATTATATTTTAATGCATGTATGTGCACTTTTAAATGAATGTACCCCGATAGTAAAAGATGTGTAATATTATGTGACAAAATTTGGATAAAATTGTGAATGCTGCAATTATTGTCCAATATTTGCCCAGTTTTCCTATCTGGTTACATAATATATCTAAAGATAATATTGAATGAAAGTACAATATTAATGCTGTATATATAAATGCTATATATAAATGTATTATACACTGCAAATTTTCCAGATGATGGGCCATCTTCAACTAATAATGATCCTTCTACAGAATCGCACATTATACCGGATGCATCATCTTCAACTAATAATGATCCTTCTACAGAATCGCTTATTATACCCGATGCACCATGTTCTGTAGATTTCTCAAGAACAAGTAAAATAATTAATTTTTAATCAACTTTCAGTATCTTAATATTGTAATGTATTTTTAATTGCTTTAAATGTTATTATAGAATTGCCACGTCCAATACCAGAACATTCGATTGACATTGAGAAACAGGAATTACTTGGAAAAATACAATTACTACGTAAGAAAAACTACAAGGTTAAAGCGAAAATAAAGCAACAAGAAGAAGGTCAATCTTTATATAAACATAGTGGAGCAGTTGTACGGTTATAAATAGGCATCGCATACGATGCGAAACGTGCAAATCGGCTTTATTGAAATCTACTTCGTGTGATATTTCTCGTGTATGTACAGGTTCTCACTGATCTAAGCAATTACTCTCGACCAGACACTTTTGACAAAAATTCAGGGCTAATATTTTGTAGCGAATTGGTTTATTGTTTTTTACAAAATGCAAAGTTCATATTTCGAGAACGTGAAGAAGAAATTCTGTCAGGTGTAGTTACATTCTCTGAAATGTTAGAAACGTTGCTGCCGCTTTGTATTACATACAAATTTCCACCGTGCCATTCTGTTGGAAAGCATATTTTTTTTCACGCATTCATTTTATTGTGCGTAAATTTAACAATACAATAGTTCGTAATAAATCTTCGAAGTGTGGAAGCAAGAGCGTTGGCATGAGAAATGCTGTAAACAAGTAATTACACTTGTGATAACATATAATGTGATAAACATTAAATATAAGTACAAATATATATATAAACATACCAAAGACACAACATAAGTACAAAGATACAATATAATTTATATGATTCAAAATAAAAATATAAAATTTCAAGACTTTTTTTATTTCATTATCTTGAATATCATACAGAGTGCATTAAAAATATAATAATTACTGCGTTTCAATATTCACTGCAAATAGATATATACCACAAAACAAATTTATAATACATTTATATATGTTACGTATACTATAAATGTTCCATATTGGCAGTGAGCGGAAAACGGTTTACATGTCTCGTTCAAATTTTTCGCGCCCTTTTAGTACCAACATGTCTGATTTTTGCGCTACTCTAAAGCGTTTTTTCTTGGCTGCACTACCGCCCTGCACTGCCCTGCACTACCCAATAGCGTTGCACTAATGTTGCACTAGTGTTGCACTAGTGGGCGATAGTGCAGCCAAGAGAAAACGCTATAAGACTCCATAGCAGAGAGAAGAATGAGAGACGACACGGCCTGGTTTTAGGTGATCCGCGAACCGGATACGCCCTCTGGGATCGACGTAAAACGTGCACATGAACTACGTAGCCACCGTCCACGTTTGGGCCACGGGGTAACACATACGTGCACGATTTAGGTTGCGTTCCGTGCTAATGTCGGTAACGCAAAGTTATTGATTTTTCGTTATGTGAGCGAGCGAGAAGGTATAAGAGTGAGCGAGATGACAATAAGAGCGAGCGAGACAGTAATTGGAGTGAGCGAGATGAGAATAACACATGCAGAAGGCTCGGGGGTGGGGATCTGATCGAGGATCGAGCATCGAGTCTTTTCCTTGCGCGCCGTTGTTCTTATCTGGCTCACTCCTGTTACTGTCCTACTCGCTCTTATTAACGACTCGCTTGCTCTTATACCTTCTCGCTCGCTCACGTAACAACTGTGTTTTAAGACCGACACGCTTTAGAAATTATCACATAAAACATTTTTTATATACACCGGGATACACATGTATAAATAAACGATTTACGACAACGAATCGAGAATAATTTTATTCAATGCAACTCGCTATAACTGTTACTCATTATTACTTCTTATAGTACTACTGTGACACTTATATATTATACTGTTTATATGTTGCATCCAGTCGTCCACCGGTCATACTTTTTCTAACGCGACGATGTATGTACACGCATTTTTTTTTTTTTTTTTTTTTTTTTTTCTTAGCAGGGAGGGGAAAATGCCTGACGCACACCCGCGTCGGCCGTCCGGCGGGGTAGTGTGGGGCTTGCACCCACTAAAAACCCCTCCCCTTCATTCTACAATATTAAGATTTCTAACAATATAGTTTTTTTTTTTTTGTTTCCCGTAGGAAGAGGGGAAATGCCTCGCGCATTCTACCGGGGGCCGGCCCCCGGGATATGTGGGGCTTGCACCCACTAAAACCCCTCTCCCTGAAACACAGCACGCTGGACTACAGTTGCCACACGCGGAACTACTCGAGGCATGACATCACGTGAATATAAATAGTTAATACATTAATATCTTTGCAAAAAAAAATATATATATATGTATATTATTTGGAAATAACTAATTTTTTAAGGCTATGCTATATAAACTATTTATATTTAGCTGATGCGCAATTTAAACATAGAACGCATTTTTAAAAAAAATTTATCAAAAA